TGCATTTCTAGGAGTCATCAGTTTAAAGGTGATATTTAAAGCTATGCATATCAATGAGCTACCCCAAGGACATGATATAGTGTGGGAGGAGAGGGGTCCAAGTGGGCAGGCCTAGAGAAAACCAGCAAAGGACAAGGTAAGAAAGAAAAGACAGCAAATTAAACGGAATAAACCAAAAGTCGTTGTTCTAGGGAGGAAGAAGTTTACAAAGTAAGGAGTTATCAATGGTGCCAAATACTATAGAGGATTTAAATATGAAAGGAGTAAAAAGAAGTCAACAGATTCCACAAATAAAAAGTTAGGGTAGCCATAGTTAAAGTATTAGGGACTGAAGCTGGATTGCAATGAGTTGAACAAAAAAAGGCAGTTTGGTGATAAGAAAGAGAGACATGGTTGAAGAAAAGGTATGCTTAATGAGAGAGAAACAGGAACCTATTTGAAGCCAAGCCTGTCGACACCTAAGCACTCTACTGCTTTGTTTCTGTCTATGAGTTGTTTTTTAGATTTAAAAAAAAAATTGGGAAACATTTTTTATGGTGTGAGGATCTCATTGGGAGTCTTTTTAAAAAACTGCATCCATGAGTGTTACCTGAAACCTCTCTGCTCACTCTACACTGACTTTTCTCCCCGCTCTCAGTATATCCACGCCAGAGGCTGCAGGGACTACAGGAGGAATGAAAGGAAGCGTGCTCTCCAGCTCGGGTGCTCCTCCAGGATCCTACCTTCTGCCTGCTCCAGTCCTCCTCACACATTGGCTCCCCTCCTTACTGACCCACTTGGCTTCATGACTTGGCTCCCACTTCTACTGGAGCTTCAGATTGTTTTTTTGAGCCAGGTAACAGAACCTTCTCAGCACTGCAAACTGAGGCCTGTAGTGTCATGGCCATGGCTCTGGCCCCAGGACCTGCCACACATTCATTCATTTACACATATATTTGTTAAACCCCTACTGTGAACCAGGTACTATTACAGGCACTCGAAGACATTGAGGAAGACGGAAACCAAAGTCCCTGTTCTTAATGGAATTTACATTTAGTAGAGGAGACAAACACTAAACAAATGGTGGGCAAGGCCCCCGGGTGCCCTATCTTTCAGGAAAAGAACAGGAACGCACTCACATTGAATGATAGTTATACTTCATAAACTCTTGGAGCCACTCCTTTTGATGTGGTTCCCTAAGATATAAAGTCTACTACTGTCACCTCTCTCCCCCAGACATTCAGACTCCAAATGGGCATATCTGTCAATCAAGTTAGATTCTTATTCTTTTCTGGCATACCACATAAGCTTTCCAATAATTAGCATATATTGCCCAATCTAAGAAGCCATCAGGAAAAAGATGAACCAGTATTGTAGGTACTTTAAATAAATGTGTGATAAGAGAAACTTAATAGGGGACCCCTACATAAAGCTGAGACACCAAAGAGCTATACCCTTAATATAAAGATAAATAAGAAATGAACTCACCTCACAGAGAGAGACAGAAAAAAAATCTTACATGTCTCAGTCTTGGCTTTAGTCAAGAGAGTGGGAAGAACATCTCATCTGGGAATTTAAACTACAAGCTGGTACTCTTACTGGTGGTCTAACTTCACACTGCTAGTGTGGCCCAAATATCCCCAATCTCAGAATTTAGTATGAAGTGGTCTCAAAGGGACTGGCAGAAGCAAAGGCAAACCCTCAGAACCAAGGTTCACAATGCCCAAATGATGGCTCACTTACTCTGGCACTAATCAAAATTAGTCATTTCTAACACAACCAAAAGGTAATAGTCATCAGGCCAACTTCATAGTGTAGGTATTTAAACTATAGTCTCTATTCTGTGAGTTTATTTATTTATTTATTTATTTATTTATTTATATGTTTATTTTTGAGACAGGGTCTCACTCTGTCACCCAGGCTGGAGGGAAGTGGCACAATCATGGCTCACTGCAGCCTTGAACTCCTCGGCTCAAGTGGTCCTCCTGCCTCAGCCTCCCGAGTAGTTAGGACTACAGGTGCACACCACCATGTCCAGCTAATTCTTTTATTTTTACTTTTTGTAGAGATGTGGTCTCACTGTGTTGCCCTGCCTAGTATTCTCTGGGTTTAAATTTTAAGTGCCATACTTTGTCTATAGTGACCACTTCAAAGTTACAGATGGAGAAATTGAGGCTTATATAGCAAATTAACCACAGCACCGAGATGCTGATTTAGACAATTCTTTTTCCTGAAAGAACAGAGTTTCTCTGTGTCTGGCATCTTAGGCTCATCCTTCTTGTATGGTAGCTTCTATTAAGTAGCATGCTAGCATCTATGGAAATGGGTATCAGCGCCCGGAGACATCAGTCTTACTTATTGACAAAACCTCCCTAGAGCTCCTAAACTAATTCTGGGCTTCATAACTGAAAATGCAGATGCTGGTAAAGGTATTTAAGGGAAATATGAAACCTATTGTAAAACAAGAACTAGGTGGGAAAGGTAAAATTCTAAGTTCTTCTATTTAGAAGGAACACCAGAGACCATCTAGTCCAATTCCTCAGGCTACATGGCAGGACTATCCTATCAGATCTTTGCGTGGCTCATCTTTTTGCATAACTCAGGTTTCTGTTTAAACGCCACTCCTCAGGAAAGACCCCATTGATTATCTCATTTATAATAGCCCACCCATGTCCCAAGACGCTTAATCCCTTCTTTTGCTTCTTTTAGTCAGAACAATTATCACTTTCTGAAATGGCCTGAAACTATTAGTTAATTATCAACTTGCTTTTTCTGTCTTCCCCCACTAGAAGATAGAAACCTTGCTCAGCTCTACAAACCCAGAGCTAGAACAGCATCTGGCCCCAAATGGAAACTAAAAAAAAATTGTTGAGTGAGTGAATAGTGGGGAATCAGTGAAGAAAGTGAGGATGATAGCCTTAATTATTTCAATTTCAGACAAATGAAATGTAATGATGTTAGGTTTAGATTAGTTTTTTTTGTTTGTTTGTTTGTTTTTTGTTTGTTTGTATTTTAGTAGAGACAGGGTTTCACTGCATTGCCCAGGCTGGTCTCAAACTCCTCAGCTGAGGCAATCCGCCCACCTTGGCCTCCCAAAGTGTTAGGATTACAGGCATGAACCACTGAGCCCGATCCAGATTAGGTTTTAAGTGATTCATTTTCTCAGAGGAGCTATCTGTAATGTTTCAGTATTACAGCCCTTAGCATTGTGTCTGCTATATACAAAGTTCTCAGTAAAGGTTTGCTGGATGGAAGAATGCACATTATATATCCCTTTATAATAAGCTTCTTCAACTTTCTGGAAATTGATGAGGCTTACTATTAGAGGACAATGATATATGTGATGATATTAACCAAACAAAAGTTTGAAAATAGAAATAGATTGTGCATCATATGAAACATTGAAAGAGATGAAAGAGTTAAAAGATTTAAAATAACATTTTAAAAATGAGAAGTGGGGTCAGGTGCGGTGGTTCATGCCCATAATCCCAGCACCTTGGGAGGCTGAAGTGGGAAGATCACTTGAGCCCAGGAGGTCAAGACCAGCCTGGGCAACATAGAGAGACCCCCATCTCTAAAAGAAATTTAAAACTTAGCTGGGCATGGAGGTCCCTGCCTGTGGCACCAGCTACTCAGGAGGCTGAGGTGGGAGGATTGCACTACTGAACTCCAGCCTGGATGACAGAGTGAGACCCTGTCTCGAGAGAGAGAGAGAGAGAGAAAAGAAAATCATCAATACTAGGAAAGGAAGACAGGAGAGTTTTAAAATAAGAAGAAGGAGAGATTCAAGAAGTCATGGTTGTCTATGTTCCTCTCATTTCCTATGTTAAGTAATCAAGGGAGGTTATGAAATCTTTCTCCAGGAGGGTTTTAAAGATAAGAACACTTTTTTGTTGGCTGGCGTGCCTGTGGATCCATCCTGGAAGTAAGAAACAAACCAAGTGGTTTTTCCAGCATCTTCTAGACTTATGATATTCTGCATTTGGACACTGAAAAACCACTCATTCATCATTCAGCAAACATTTACAAAGTTCCTGCTGTGTACCAGCAAATAGTTAGAATCCTTTTGGTTCTAAGTGACAGAATTCAGTTCATACCTTAATACTTCAAGAAAAAAATGGAAGTGAACTTGAAGGATCCTGGTTTTCTCCCAGAGGAACCAACCCACAAGAAGGGCAGGGATGCAGCAGACCCCAGGAACCATTGCAGCCAGGGAACTAATATGGTGAGGATTCTATCTCTATCATTTTTCTTTGTTATCTTTAGATGTTGGCTTTTTCTTTCTCCTGTTGCAGACTATTTTCTCATAGTGAAAAATGAGACTATGGACATCTTTCAAGATTTATGTCTTATAGTTTTTGGCTGCTTGTGATCTCAAGCCCAAAGATCTAGAAGGCACCAGACCCAACTTGGAAGTGTGCCCTACCATCAAATAATTGATTATAATCATTCAGATGGGACTAAATAAGAACTCTATAAGGATGAAATGGTGTGGAAGGAGAGACATAGTTTTCAAAGTAAGTGGGTAGGGCTGAACAGGTAATACCATATACACTCATTATGGCCTGATACTGTGTTATACCAATACAGGTGAAACAAATATGGCTAAACCTTTATATCTATAAAATCAAGGTGTCATTAACTGGTGCACTATACAAAAATGCTGTCAATGATACTCTTAGGAAGTTTAAATGCAATGGTATGTTTAGGAACAGCTGAGATTGTCATCTCTCTTTGAGAAGACTGCCCTAATTTTCTTTGTAAAAGGCACATCTTGTCTCTCCAGTTCAGAGGGTTGACCTGTCACTTGCAGTTAGTGATGACTACAGAAGTGAAGATGATAGTTGAGTAACTGGTTTGTCAACTCTTGGGAGTATGGAAAAGAGGTATAATACTATTGGAAATGGGCACTATAAAGTGGGAAACAAGAGGAGTAGGTAGAGAGAAAGAGAGAAGAAGAAAGAAAACAGGAGAAGGTGGTTAATGGGGTTTATGTAAAATTCACTCCAAACCTCACTTACTCACAGTTCTCCAAGTCCTCCTTCATTCAAGAATGAGAAAGATGGGCTCTCCTGAAGAATACTGAGAGGGCAAAGCTCTTTGATCTGGGACTCTCTGATCCAATTGTTCCATTAGCTCCTTGGCAGTCTGCTCAGCTCTTTCCCTAGATCAGTGTCTGGTTAGAAAGGGGGTATGAGACTGAATGAACTACTCACACTCTAGCTTCATTTCTATGACAACCGATCTTCACCCATTGCATTTGGCATCTCATAACTTATGCCTTCCCGAGGAGGAATTCGTATGTTTGGAGAAGGAATGGGGTTGGCTTGTGGTCAAAGAGCTGGGCTTTTCAGAACTCTCTAAAGGATCTTTCTCTCTTCCTTCCTTCCTTCCTTCCTTCCTTCCTTCCTTCCTTCCTTCCTTTCTTTCTTTCTTTCTTTCTTTTTCTCTCTCTCTCTTTCTTTCTTTTTCTTTCTTTCCTTTCTCTTTTTCTTTCTATCTTTCTCTCCCACCCTTCCTTTCCCTCCCCTCCCCTTCCCCTCCCCTCCCTCCCTCCCTCCCTCCCTCCCTTCCTTCCTTCCTTCCTTCCTTCCTTCCTTCCTTCCTTCCTTCCTTCCTTCCTTCCTTCCTTCCTTCCTTCCTTCCTTCCTTCCTTCTCTTACCTTGTTGCCCAGGCTGGAGTCTGGAGTGTAGTGGTGTAATCATGGCTCCTCACAGCCTCCATTTTTCATACTCAAGCAATCCTCCTAACTCAGCCTCCCTAGCAGCTGGGACTACAGGTGCACATCACCACACCCAGCTAATTTGATTTATTTTTTTGGAGAGACAAGGTCTCGCCATGTTGCCCAAGCTGGTCTCAAACTCCTGGGCTCATGCAAGCCTCCTGCCTCAGACTCCCAAAGTGCTGGGATTACAGATGTGGGCAACTGTGCCTGGCTTTGAATGATATTTCTTTTAGAGATATTTCTGTTTTCAATGCTTAAAGTAACAGTAATTCTTTCCAGATGGCTTGAAATAAAAACATTCTCATTTCCCTTTAGAAAATGGCCACAGTCCAATATCTCTCAAATAGCCCTACAACAACAACACAGGCTAAAGTATGTCTAGTCATTTGTTAGTCAAATGGGAAAGTAGGAAGACATGATGGATTGGTGACAAACTGGCTCAGCCAGCTTGTCCAGGTTAGGAACCATCTTTCCTCTCCCTGGATGAGAATGGCTGTCCAAGATTGCAGGATTTCAGGAGTAGGAATATTTTAGGATTGCTTGCAAGTCAAAGGATTCATGAGGCGAGAGTCATGGGGGAGATGGAGGTATATAGAAAAATGAAGACGACAAATACCTGCATTGAAATATTAGTGATTCTGACATCCTCCATTAGGCCTAAAGGGAAAAACCATGACTTAATCATTTCTTTATCACTAGTTAGCATATTTGCTGTCTCTACGTCTCTATCTCATAGCTGGCACATAGCAGCTGTTTCGTAATATTTAGTTGATTGACTGAATAAAAGTAAGATTTGATGTTTGTGAGCATATCTCAGGAGTTCTGCACAATCTGAGACTTCCTAAAGGCATAAGATTTGTCCTCTATAAATGAAAGACATATTTCTTTTTATTTTTTTTTAACTATCCCTCATTTAACTCAGATTTGATTTTTCTGAACTGGGTTCCTTGTTAACTGGGAATTTGAATCTAAAAAACTGGCTCCAAATGAGATACAGAAGATAAATTTTCTTTCTCCTAGGCTCCTAAAAGAGGAACAATTCATTCTGGGATCCAGAAACAGAACTCAGAATAGGGATTCTTACAAATTCTAAGCAAAGCTCAGAGTGAAACAAAGAGAAGTGCCTTTCAGAGTTATCTTCATTGAGCGACCACACAACTGCCTCAGAAACGCAAAAATAAATGTCCAGTAAGTATGGAATTTTCTGCTCATTCTTTCCAATTAATAAGCCCCCTAGGCCTTACAATAAAATCTGGGGGTTTTCACAAAGTTGGATCTCTTTTTTGAATATACTGGCTTAAAATTCAAAAACAATAAGGAAAAGATAAGCAATGAGAATTAGTATTTGTCACTGAGAAACAACAAGGTAAGATATGTTTACAACTTAGTGGCTAAAAGTAGGGTCACTGGTTGCAGCCTGACTGGGTTTGTATCCTGGCCCAAACCTTATTGCTTCCTTATGGCTTTGGGCAAGGTTGTTGTGAGACTGAAATGTATTTTATCAAGAAAAGTGCTTAAAATATACCTAGAATATAGGAACTCAATAAATATTAACTAATCGTACTATTATTTAAAAAAAAAAAAAGTTTTCTAAATCACAATTCTAATAAGGCCCACTTAAAATACTTCAATAGCTGTTCATTTTCCCCCTGGATAAACTGTCCTTTAGCATGGCCTACAGGGGCATTCCAGGGCTGGCCTCTGCTTCTCATCGCCTGCGACTCCTCCCAGATCAAACCCTAAGCTCCAGCTTTACTTAGAGCTCCCTGAATTGCTTTCCTCTTTTATATTTCTGTACATATTCTTCCTTCTCCTTGAACTATTCTTTCCCACTCACTCACCTGGCTGGTATCAATTTGTCCCTAAAATAGTCCAGATATCAGCTCTTCCAGGAAGCTCCCCCTAATATACTCAGCTTGGCTTAGGGACTCTTCCCATAAGCTCTTACTTTCCCGTGATCTGCTGCATCATGTTCCTCATCATGCTCTGCTGACATAGTTGCCTTCTCTCCCTCCCCCACAGGTTATGTGCTCCTTTGGGAGAAGATGTGGCATCTCTTTCTCCAGTGTATCCCCAGCCTGTATCACAGAGCAGGTATTCTGAAAAGTGCTTGGAATTTTAAAAATGGCTAAATATTTAAAAGAAGGAGGCTTAAAAATGAGCAGACTTAAAAATGAGGTTTTAAAATGAATTATCCTATAAGGATCAGCAAAGGAAGAATTAAAACCCAAAAGAAAAAGAAAGAAATACAGAAAAATCTGCAATTCCCCCACCTCTCAACTCCCTCCTGACTCCTTGCATTTGAAGTCTGGGATTCACTCCGTTTTTTTGTCAGTTACAAGTTCTGCTTAACAGCATGTCAGGAGTCACAGTCTCCAGTGACCCAGGTCTTTGATGCTGTTACCTAATCCTGCTTTATTTCCTGCAAGCAACCACAGCATCAACTCTGATCCCGAACAGGAAATTCTGAGCATTCATCGTTTCAGGTCCTTTTAAGCTGATTATGGTTCTTAGAGGTAAGAGAACCAAGGCTTTCCATAATCTACACAATGCGAAGCCTGTCTATTGAACTAGCTCGGCACTGGATTCATAATACCCAATTGCCTTTACCTTTTCTAAGTATGATAGAGGGCTCCAGTTAATTCTTTAAATACGCTTGTTAGTGGAAGTACCATCCCATCACACATTGATTCTGAAAGTGATAGCTCAAGGTCATTCAGCAGATCAGTGACGACAGAACAAGGAGGTCAGGTTCCAGTTCCAGCCAACAGGGGTTCTTGAGTCATATAACCCAAGTCAGTCTCTTTTTCTCTTCGGCATTTTTAATTCTGGACACAGAGCTATGGAATTAAAAATGGAGAGGGGGCAAGCTTAAGAGAAAGTCATATATTGAACAATGATAAGTGGCATGAACATATAATAAATAACATTTATGAATTCCCTATGAACTGGTTCCCAGCAATCTGAAAGGCACTAGCAAAAGAAAATGCCCTAAATTACCCTATGTTCGTTTATTTGGTGTGAAAAATCCCCCAAGAAACCAGAATAAGAATTAGGAGGGAAATAAGATGTCTGAAGAGTTAGGGACTCTTCCATCATTTTCTTCTGCCATTTCTAAAGATTTTGCTTTGAGATTAATTGGGTATAAATTTCTGAAACGCCTTTCTTGGGATATTTGATCATGGCAAGTGGGAGAGACTTCAGAATATTTCAGTCTCAAGTGTGAATAGCTTCAAAGCTATTCACTTTTCTCAGCAGTAGGCAAAAGAATGGTCAGGGAACATTTCAAAGTTGATGAAATCTCTTCTAGTCCAAAGTCCAAAGATCATATATCTACCTCTATAGCTCTTATGCCTACTATATGATCTGTTGCTTAGTAGATGCTCAAGTTTTTTGTTTGTTTGTTTGTGACAGTTTCACTCTGGTCACCCAGGCTGGAGTACAATGGCGTGATCTTGGCTCACTGCAACGTCCGCCTCCCAGATTCAAGCAATTCTCCTTCCTCAGCCTCCCAAGTAGCTGGGATTACAGGCACCCACAACCACGCCTGGCTAATTTTTGTGTTTTTAGTAGAGACAGCGTTTCACCATGTTGGCCAGGCTGGTCTCAAACTCCTGACCTCAGGTGATCCGCCCATCTCAGCCTCCCAAAGTGTCGGGATTACAGGTGTGAGCCACTGCGCACAGCCAAATCATGGCCTCTTCTCTTTATTTTTTTAAAGTGGCTTTATTTGTATCATTCACCAGTTTCTGTGGTGTAAATCTTCTAGCATGACCAATTTCAAGCTACCAGTGGCTTAACAACAAACTCACAAAATTTGGGAAGTTAACAATCACTTTCATCACTTTCATAACCAGTAGGAATCAACTCCAGCACAGCAGAGCTTGGCTCTCTGTATTCAAAAGCAAGTCAGTACTGAGTGGTTTCAATGCATTTAGCCCTCAAAGGGAAGAAGGGATACTCAGAGTTGGCTTGGGAACAGAAATTCGACAGTATAATAAAGCTTCATGCTTAGAAAAGCACATAGGTGATGTCCTGTGGGAACTACCAAGGGCTGAAATAGTTTTCTGCCTCTAACCTAGTATGAACAATGGAAGAAGTGTATATAGACCCCTCCTCTGCATGCTGCACCTCTTCCTCTAAGCAAACGAGAAAGAAACCTTAGCATGCATAAACCCTCTCCAACAGGGCTGAGGTTTGCGTGAACAACGGAAAAACTCAAATCCAAGTTTGAATGTGCTCGAGCCACAGTTACCAATTTTAGATCTTTGTAATAGTGGAGATTAGATTGAAGAAGGTTATTTCTAATCACTATACTGAAATGCTTATTTGTGACACACCAGGAATACTTTTTGTGTGTGTTAATAGAAAAACTAAACTCTGTAAAATATTTTTAAAATATTTATTCTGAGCAAATACGAGTGACCACAGCCCAAGGAAAAATACAAACCCAACAAGTTTGGTCCTAAGGTGGTTAAATTACAGATTGACTTTATACATTTCAAGGAGGTAGGTGTCACAGGCAAAAGAATAAATTGATACCTGGAAAGTATACATTGGTTTAACCAAAAAGGTGGGATATCTTGAAGCAAGGGCTTACAAGTAATAGGTGGATTCAGAGATTCTGTAATCTGCAATTAAAGGAACAAAAATTTGTCTAAAAGCTTGGAGTTAACAGAAAGGAATTAAGTTATGAATGCTACATCAGAGTCAGCCACAATACGACATGTTTAGCATGACTTATTGTTTGTCAGCATGACTTAGCCCTTGCCTTCTTTGGCCTTGGTCTTGTTTATAATTTGGTATCTTATTAGCAGTTTGTTTTGTTAGTCTGATGATATTTATTTTAACATTAATGCTGGTCAGTTGTTGTACCTAAAAGGGAGAGAGTATAACAAGGCACGTAGGACTCTCCCCTATACGCTCTCCCTTTTGGAGTTTAGGCACAACAGTTTGGAGTTTAGGCACTGCCAGTTTTTAAGGTTTCTCTGGGGTCCCTTTGACCAAGAGGAGAGCTGCTCAGTTGGTGGGGAAGGGGGGTGGTTTAGAATTTTAATTTTAGTTTACATGTATTTTGCAATAAGCATTGTTCACCAAGACAAGTAGATTGTTATTTCCATTTTCCCACAATTTACATCATTCACATAGTTTTTGATAAAAGTTTCTCTACTTCTCATGCTGCTAAGTTAATAGGGTTTCCTATACATGAATGCTTGGGATGAGTATGCTGTGACATGTTCCTCAGAGATACACATTTTCAGCCCAGTGTGACTCCTTTAAGCCAATACATCCTCTTCACAATACACTCTGGACAGATTCAGAGCCAGACACACAGGGTTCTGGTTATAGGTTGCAGGACTGAACCTGGGGCCCAAGTTGCCCCTGAAGCACATATACTTCCTTCCCCAGTTCTGCCCTGTCCTGGTGTGGGGAGCCTTGCTGGGGGTACGAGATGATAGCCATGCCAGCAGGGTTCCTCTAAGGCTTATACCTACTCTACCACACAAACATCAAATAAAAGGCAGGTCTCAGCCAATTGGTCATTTACACATTTAGTTCCACATCACTCACCTCAGTCTACTTTTTGCATGTCACTTGGTCCCTCTTGTTCTTCCTACTACTCACTTTTCTAATTGTTCCCTTTCTTCTTACCTAAGCTCATTCTGTGAAATCATTCTACTGTGTTTTCTTCTTTTCTCCTAGGCTGACTCCTCATAGTTTACCATAGGAGTTAGCAGACATCTGAGAAGTCAAGAAGTCTGCATTTGTGCCTTGGCTCCTTCACTTCCTGGCTGAGTGACCTTGGGAAAGTAGCTTGATGTCTCTGAGCCTCAGCTTCTTAATCTGCAAAACAAGGTTGCAATGATTCGTTATCTCATGAGTGTTGAGGCAAAAATAAGAACATACCATACATGCCGAGTACCCAGCAAATGTTTCTGTGGTAGGTACTTAAATATGTTAGATCTTCATAACATTACTTTTATCCTTGATACCACCATTGTCTTCAGCAGATGTGGTGTTTCTATTGCACAATGTTGTCTCAAGTGACTTGGATAATGCTCACAACTCCAGCCCCAGCCCAGCGCTACTTCCAGAAATCTCCTTGGTGAAGGTTCTTGAACAGAGTGTTCATAAGTGCTTTATAGGTGAGGAGATGCTTATAAAACTCACGCCAAACCCGCTTCCAAGCATAGAACTCTGTAACACTCTGTTCTTTGAGATATCTTGCAAAACTGTCTTGAATAAGAAAATCCTTAATGACTTTTTGATTCTGCTTGTCATGTACTTTGTTATTGCTGACACAAAAATATGTCTAGACATTTTTTTCTTCAATTTACATTTTATAAATACTGACTTCTTGGCCTTTAAAATGAATAATGGCCATTGAAACAATCATGATAATAAAATGATTTTATTATTTGTTTTCCCTCTAAAAAGCTGAACCAGAGCTATGCAAGGTGGCCTCTTGTACCTTCTATTGAAGGTCAGTCTTGAGCCCTACTTGAAAGACCTTATCCTTTTCACTTTCCTCCATTTGTGCTGGGGAAGTAGCCAAGCTCCTGAAATAGGACAGATGCCACCTGGATTTGTGAGATCTGGATACCCTTGAAGGCTGTAACCAAACTCATCTGTCAGAAACAGAGGCTTAAGATTACCTTCAGGGTAAAAAATGCCTTTGAATTTTCCAAGATATGTGAAAAAGAGACTCCATTTATGCAGTTATAGGTGACTCTGTGTGTCAGGGGAATAAATCATGCTTTATAGGTAATATGACAAGAGGTTTTAGAGGCATTTGAGAAATCTGGAGAAGGCAGGAGATAGCCAGGAATAAGGAACAAGAAGAGCATGTGGGGTTTTCCAATGGACAATTTGAAAGACCATTGTGTCCAGTCACCGCTGTTAGAACCTTCAGCAGTCCCTGACAGCACCATCACTGTTCCATGCCACTCCATCCCCATCCTGTCTCCTCCCTTCCTTCCTAAACTCCTTCTCCAACTCTAGTTCCTGCTTCCCAATTACCCTGCAGTTCTATTCCTGTCTTTGACTTCAAATGGGTGGGTGGGAGGACTACATTTGGCAAAAGGATTCCTAAAAGCTTTGTCCAGATGTCTAAATTCATTTTCTCTCAGATATTTGACTTGTGTCATGTTGCAAGCTGCCTGTTGCCGTAAGGGCTGCCTAGAACTAGCCCAGCATTACCACTGTCAGTTGTAAGTCCTCAGCCCAACCCTTGTGCAGTGAATTCATATTTTGTTCTAGAACCTTAAGGATGATAGCCTGCAAATTTAAAGAAGGAGATTCAAGAGTTGGAAGGTCCCCAGAAGTCATTTTGTCCAATGCCAGAAGCCGAGGACCACTTACAATATTCTTCACAGAGTTGTCTGGCCTTTGACCAAATGCCAGGTAATAAAGATTGTCTCTTCCGGGTGGATCACGAGGTCAGGAGATCGAGACCATCCTGGCTAACATGGTGAAACCCCGTCTCTACTAAAAAATACAAAAAACTAGCCGGGCGAGGTGGCGGACGCCTATAGTCCCAGTTACTCGGGAGGCTGAGGCAGGAGAATGGCGTGAACCCGGGAGGCGGAGCTTGCAGTGAGCCGAGATCCGGCCACTGCGCTCCAGCCTGGGCGACAGAGCGAGACTCCGTCTCAAAAAAAAAAAAAAAAAAAAAGATTGTCTCTTCAGAAGAAAAAGAAATGTTTAGGAAAAAGGGGTTGGAAGGAGGTGACATTTGCAAAATATAACTTTTTGTTCCTTTTGAATATCATTGTGTTGTATATATCACTTATTTAAGAAAGTAAATTAAATATTTTGAAAATGTCTTCAGTGTGAAGTTCATTACCCCAAAAGCAGACTGTTGAATTTCAGGTAGCTGGAATTGACAGAAACTTGTTTCTTGGCTGGGTGTGGCAGCTCACGTCTGTAATCCCAGCACTTTGGGAGGTCAAGGTGGGTGGGTCACCTGAGGTCAGGAGTTTGAGGCCATCCTGGCCAACATGGCAAAACCCCATCTCTACTAAAAATACAAAAATTAGCCAGGCATGGTTGTAGACACCTGTAATCCCAGTTACTTGGGAGACTGAGGCAGGAGAATTGCTTGAACCTGGGAGGTGGAGGTTGCAGTGAGCTGAGATCGCACCATTGTGCTCCAGCCTGGGCGACAAGAACAAAACTCCATCTCAAATAAGTAAGTAAGTAAATAAGTAAATAAATAAATAAATAAAATAAAGTTGTTTCTCATGCCGAGGTGAAATCAACGTCTTTATGCTTCCACTCTTCTACTTCTCCCTTAATAGGCCTTCCCAGACCCTGAACATTATCTTCATCGCCTGTCTCCTACCAAAAAGGGACCCTACTGATCTATAGTAATAGTACAGAGCCAGCCACTCCCCTCCAATAACAAAAAATTTTCAAATATTTGAAGACAACCAATCTATCTTCCTTTAGTTATTTCTTCTTGAATGCTAGGGAGATCACCCACTTTGCTATGCCAGATATCTCAGTTAGTTTTAATGTTTGTGGGAAAAAAAGAACTTGTCCCAGGGATGAGATTCCCTTGTGATGTCTTGTTGAATCTGGCCTCCATTGCTCACTGAAGGGCGATGCTTGGGTACAGCCAAATCCAAAGTTTATTCCAAAATAAAGATGTAGCTCTGGTCTTGCTTAACTTTGTCTTGCTTAGAGTGTTTGGGTCTTGCTTAGAGTGTTTGGGACACGGGGGTAATAGAGGATTCTCCCTGATGGTGGACACTTGAGCTTCCTAGCATCCTCAGAAAAATTTATGAGCTTTCTTAATAGATTACCACTCATGTTCTTGTTGTAGCCTGTTTCTGTATCATAGATGTTTTGCATAAACTTTCATTTAGAAGTTTATAAAGTCAATAAAATCAGAACACTAAATTTAGTCTTAGATTGGAAAGGCAATAGATGGGACTGAAGCTCTGTCCCCCATGCCTTTCTTGATTTTTATATAATTTCAATAAGCATTGTCTTTCCTCTTCCCCTCATCCCAAGTTCCTATAACTGTGCTAAAATACAAAGGAAGCACCAAAAGCCTATATTCATGTTAAGAAAACTACATGCACACAAAAGCAACAAAGGGAGAATCTGAAACACATTGAACTATGGACAGAGAGCAATCAGTCACCAAGGACAGCACTAAAATCATGGGGTCCTCTGCACCAGGTGCACGCACAGGTACTGTAGGGGCCAGAGAGTCACTAAAAAATCAACTCACAAAAGGCAGATTAATTGGAGAAAAGGTAGGCAAATTTATTTAACATGTGTACTCAGGAACCTTCAGACTGAAGACTGAAAGATAAAGGGGAAATGGTTCATTTTTATGCTTAGTTCAACAAAGTATGGAAAGCTGTGTAGAAATATGATTGGACAAAATAGGTATGATCTAATGCTAGTAGACTGAGTGGGGAAAACCAGCAAGGCCTGTCTGCCTAGATTCTTCTTAGCCTCTGAGCATGCACTCCTTCCTTCTGAGTTTGGGGCAGAGCCCTCTTTGCAATCGGGGGTCTTATGACCTACAGTCAAACAAGGTAAGTCAGATAATTTCTTTATGGACAGTTTTTACACAGAAAGAGGAAACGTTAGAGTAATATTTTTAGTTTTTATGGCTAGCTTTAGGGAAAAAGGCTTCTGGTTTCTCTGACCCACCTTGGTGAAGAAGGATTCTGGTTTCTATGATTAGTCTCAGGGGAGAAAGGGGACTGGGAGACAAGAGGGTAGCAGCAGGTCAAAGAAAACCTTTTGGTCCTGAGGCTGTTTCTGAGGCCTTCATTCTGGGGTATTGTTTTCTGAGCCCCAACTGTATCCTACCCAGGGCAAACTAATAGGCCTTCCTAGACCCTGAACATTATCTTCATTGCCTGTCTCCTACCAAAAAGGGACCCTACTGATCTATTAACAGATGCCCTTTGAGGTATCCATCCAGTTTGTAAACTTAAAATACTAAGTTCTTTACCAGCTGAACCCTCTCTTGGCCATGGGGACCCCAGAGAAACCTTAAAAACTTAATTCCTGGCCATGACAGCAAGAAAGGTTGGACCTACCTTTTTATACTCCCTCCCTTTTGGAGTTTAGGCACAACTGACCAGCATTACTGTTAAAACAGAGATCATAAGGCTAACAAAGCAAACTGGTAATAAGATACCAAAGTATACACAAGACTAAGGCCATAGAAGACAAGGGTTAAGTCATGCCTGCAGACTATCAGTCTGGCTACAGAGCATCCTAATCTTAATTTAAGACATTCCTTTTTATTGACTTCAAGTTGTAGATAGAACCTTACTCCTTTAACCAATTATAAATTAAAGCATCTCTAAATTCACCTGTAACCTATAAGCACCCCCCTTCCCACTTCAAGATTTCTTGCCTTTTCAGGTGGAACTAATATATCTCTTCCATGTATTGATGTATGTCTTTGCCTGTAACTCCTGCCTCCCTGAAATACATAAAACCAAAATGTAATCTGACTGCCATGGGACCACTTACTCAAGGATTCTTGGGTTTGTGTTTCTCCTTGGGCACTGGACACTGGACACTCATGTTGACTCAGAATAAACCCTTTTAAAGTATTTTACATAATTTGGATTTTTTCATTAACAAGTTCCACCCATACAATTTTTCCTCCTGGTTCCCTTATGACCAAGGATATAATTTAGGACCAACTGATGAGAGAAGAAAAGTCTGCAATGATGAGGACTGAGAAGTGGTACAGAGAGGTATGTCTGCCAGCAGAACCTAAGCCACATCTTTAAGGCTCAGATTTAGGCCAGAATATAACTCACCCCTTGGATGTGGCGAGTCCTATAACACCAGGCTTAGCC